TTGAGATGTTCTCTGAGCCATGTGATCTGGGAAATACAAAGTAGTCATCTGTGTACTTTGTGGCTGGATCAGCTTTGAAGTGAGTGCCAGGCAAGCTCAGAGTTTGCAAGGTAGGTGACAGCTCCAACTGTGAGATGGGAAAGGTGACTGCTGCTTCCCTCTGACCCGGCCCATGTGATAAAGCTCAGGTTCCCAACCTCCAACAGGCTAAAATTTAGAGGCTGTGGGCTAAAATAAGACCCTATAGAGATTTTAGTATTGGTTGGCCCATTATTATGGTAATTAGCCTGAGACTGATTATTGGTAACTCAAGGTTGCCTGGCGGGTGGTACACAAATCTTTATCAGGCAGATCTGCAGCTTTGCTGAATTTGCTTTCCCAGTGTGATTTTCTAGTTGTCAGACATGATTCACCCAACCACATCATTGATGCTCCAATCGATATGGGATTTTTGTTTTTGTTTTTTTTAGGTTCTCACACGATTGTTGTGCTCTTCCACTCCTGTTGTGTACTGGTTCCCAGCTCACTTGCTTCAGAATCAAGAACCACTGTTGAGATCTGTAGACACAGTACCTGAGAAGCTTCTTGAGAAAAACTCCCCACCAGGACAGAAGGCCCCCAGAAACTGTATCATGAAACTCTTGTACAACTGGAGGGCCTGTTCTCCAGTCACAAGATGCATTCTTGGCTACTTCCTGACTTATTGGCTCCTGGGACTACTCCTCCATTGCAACTTCCTGCCTTGGACTTGATCTGGAATCTCAAGGGACAGGCTGGAAGCTGATTTAACCCAGGGGCTAAAAACTTCAAGACACACTGGCTGGGACTGCCTGCTCATCCCTGAGAGCACTGTCTGTTAGGATCTCCCCCTGTGCCCCTGGAGACCAGTTAGGAATGGAGAATAGCAAGGAATTGAGCCCCTTCTTGTCCTTAGTGGGAGGAAGAACTGTTTTCTGTGCCGAATGGAGTTGGCTCAAATCAACAAGCTTCAGACAATCTTAAACCTCCTGCTGACCCATGTAGGTGTTTTTTGTTTTTTTGAGACTGGGTTCACTGTGTTGCCTTGGCTGTCCTGGAACTCGATTTCTAGACCAAGATGGCCTGGAACTCAGAGATCTGCCTACCTCTGCCTCCCAAGTGCTGGGATTAAAGGTGCAACACCACTGCCTGGCTTCCCATGTGTAAATTTAAGTTAAATGTTTGCTCAAAGCTCTAACCAACAGCCTGATCCACTTGAGATGGTGAGGACAGGACAGTGAAAAGAGGAAAAATGGGCTGCCTGCTTTAAGTGAGACATTTCTGGAGTTTCCTTTATGATGTGTGCATTTATATAAAAAATCCTACACTATGAAAATTTAAAAACTTGTATTTGTAATGAATTTGGGGGTGGGGGTCAGGGGAGTTGAAACAGGGTTCTTCTGTGTAGAGATCAGGCTGGTCTTGAACTCACAGAGATCCACCTGCCTCTGCCTCTTAGTGCTGGGACTAATGGTGTGTGTCAGGCACTGCTGAGTTACTTTTTATAAGGACTTGGGGCTAGAACTCAGTAAAGCATGTGAGGCCCTAATTTCAATAATAAATGATTTGAGTCAGAGCACAGGATCATGTTCCAACTATGTAATCCTAAATACTTTGAGAGCCTTCTTTACCTACTCTGAAACCAAGGAAGGTGCTGTCCCCTGGGGTATGGGTTAGGTCTTTCAGGCCTTAAAGTCTTGAGGTTCCCTTAAACAACAGATCCCAATCTAAACACCTGGGGGTTCAAATGTGACCTAAGTGGGGAGTCCCCCATTTCCTTTGGTCAATTAGAAAGAACCCCACTTCACCCCTGGGGACAACCCTGAATAGGAGGAATGACACCTGGTGTAAAAGGCTAAGCCAGGATGACTGGTTTTACTCCCTCAAAAGCTCATGCCTGATTGGTAGGCACGAGTCAGAGGCACCAACACCACAGCCCTGATGGGAAGCACTGTAGCCGGTCCAGGTTGTGGAATACAGCCCCTGACCCTGCTTCCTGGCTCTTGTTGGTTACTAATGGTAATATCACTGCCCCTGGTGAGTGTTGTGGCTCCCACTTATCTCAACACTCCAGGATGCTGAGGCAGGAGAGTTTGGGGGCAGCTAGAGTAAGTTCCTGTCTAAACTGGAAAAATGCTGGCCCTGCCCAGCAGTGTGTGCTCACATCTTGAGCCAGGTAAGAGTTTGGCTCTGTATCATTATCCTTCTTAGTCCCCATTGAGCCAAAAATTCCAATAAGCAGCATTCTTCAAAACAGATGGCAATCCGCAGCAGCTTCTGGAAAGCTGAGAGTTAGAATTTGGACACACTCCCTCCAACCGTGACAGAAAGCTCAACTTGCCAGCTGAAGGGAAGCTCCTGGCCGAGACCCAGCACCCTCCGTGGGAGTCTCCAGCCAGCCTGGCCAACGAGCATTCCCACCCATCACCACAGCGCTAGCACAGCCAAGCATTTGGTCCAGAGTCAAATGCTACTGAAAATGTACACACAGATTGGGGCAGCCCTTTGCCTTCTGCCAAGACACCGAGTGCCCTTCTTGGCAAAAGGCAATCACCTCTGCCCTAGTGTCCCTCCAGCTGGCAAAGACTGCCTCTTCACCAGAAGCTGCAAATCCTAGGACACCCCCCTCCCCCAAAAAGTAAATGTGTGGGAGGAGCTGGGGTCTGGTTTGCTGGAGCACTGGGTCCTTTGGTCTCGGCTTCACTTTGTCTCATTTTAAGGGATAACCAGTAGTAATTGTTCCCCTCCTAGGAGAGGTGATTCACCCCCCACCGAGCCGAGTGTTCTCATTGTTTTGTCTCTAGACCTATCACCCCAGAAACCCTACACCTGAGGACCCCTGCTAGGTGAGCAACACCTGGAGAAGAGCGTGGTCTCTCTCTGACCTTGGAGGGCTAGTGGCTTAGGTTCTAAGGAATGGGCTGACTTTATGGCCAGCAGCTGTCCTTTTACCAGCCTATTAACAGTCTCTAATAGTCTGAGAGAGGAACATGAAGGGCCCAAGGCAGGAAGCTTCCTGTTTACCCGAGGTCTAAGAATGCCACAGCTGGGTTGGGCGGCCACAGTTTAGAGAAGTCATTTCCTTCCAAGACTCGGCTAAAATACAAACCAGACACTGCAGACCTAGAGGTAGATGTCTTTTTGTTCTTTAATGAAGGTGAGAGAAAAGGGAGCTTTGACCAGTCTCTAGCAGTCCCTCTGGGACAGGGGGATCAGAAGTCTGAATCTAAAAATGTAGTGTGGAGGCTAAAGAGATTTGAAATGGCTTCTTTCCACCAGTTGCTTATTAATGCCTATTTTGGACTAAGGAAGACAGGCACACCTCCTTCCTCAAATGTCTATTGGTGAGTTGCATTCATTAGGGAAGTGATAAATTCTTTTAGTGTGTGTGAATATGAACATTCCTTAGCACACACATGGAAGTCAGAATTACCCTTTTTTTTTTTTCCAAGAAGGTTTCTCTGTGAAACAGACAGTCCTGGAACTCACTCTGTAGATCAAGCTGGCCTCCAATTCATAGATATCCACCTGCCTCTGCCTCTCAAGTGCTGGGATTAAAGGTGTGCACCACCCCCACCTGGCTCTACTTGAATTTTTCTATATCATGGATGAAGGAAAGGTGTGATGCACACATGCAATCTCTGCATTTGTGAGGCTGAGCAGGAAGACTGTAAAGTTGAGACCAGCCTAATGTGGTGCAAACCTTCAGTCCCAGTACTCAGGAGGCAGAGAGGTAGGTTTCTGTGAGTTCCAGGCCAGGCTGGTCTACAGAGTGAATTCCAGGACAGCCAGAGCTACACAGTGAGACCCTGCCTCAGTCACCTTCCCCCCAAAAAGGAGGGGCTGCAAAGACATTTCAGTGGTTAGAAGTCCAGTGTACTACTCTTGCACAAGACCTAAGGACAGCAACTGCCAGTAATTCTAGCTCCTGGGGAATCCAACCCCTGGAAAGCATGGGAAGCTGCACTCCCATGCACGTTCCCACATAGAAACATACAAAAACACATTTTAAAAATTTTGATGCTAAAGCTGGGCATTGGTGGCGCATGCCTTTAGTCCCAGCACTCGGGAGGCAGAGGCAGATGGATCTCTCTGAGTTCAAGACCACCCTGGTCTACAAGAGCTGGTTCCAGGACAGCCTCCAAAGCCACAGAGAAACCCTGTCTCAAAAACAAAACAAAACAAAAAAACTTGATGCTAGAGAAATAGCTCAGGGGCTGGAGAGATGGCTAAGAGGTTAAGAGCACTGACTGCTCTTCCAGAGGTCCTGAGTTCAATCGCCAGCAACCACATGGTGGCTCACAACCATCCGTTATGAGAAATAGCTCAGTGGTTAAAAGTGCTTACCTCTCTTGCAGAGGGCTAGAGTTTGACTCCCAGCAACCTTGTTGGAAAGCTCCTTTAGGAACTCCAGCCCCAAGGGATCCAATCTCTTCTAGCCTCCATGAGTCCCTGAACACGTGAGGGTATATATATATGTGTGTGTGTGTGTGTGTGTGTGTGTGTGTGTGTGTGTGCAAATACATCTTCAAAAAGTTAAATGTAGTGAGTGAATACATTACTTCCCCCACCCCAACCCCTCTGGTAGAGGTGGTTGTCCTGAACCCTTGACACCAGCTAGGTAAGTGTTATACCACTGAACTACATCTCCAGCCAGCCAGAGAGCTCAGCTTGAAGCAAGGAGAGCTCAGCTTGAAGCAAGGAGAGCTCAGCTTGAGAGGATCCAAGGCATAAGATCTGGATTCAGGATCAATCCACTGTGTGCCATGTACAGCCGTGTGAACTTGAGATGCACGGAACTCTACGCCTGACCGATCATCTGTGCATTATACAATTGGCCTCCTTACCTCCCCATTTTTAAAAAAATATTTATTATGTACACAGTGTTCTGTTCTTCCTGCATGTACAGCTGCAGGCCAGAAGACAGCACCAGATCTCATTATAGATGGCTGTGAGCCACTATGTGGTTGCTGGGAATTGAACTCAGGACCTCTGGAAGAGCAGCTAGTGCTCTTAACCACTGAGCTATCTCTCCAGCTCACCTCCGCAGTTCTTATCCATAGATTCAATCACTCCCAGACAAGATAGTAAGGTAAATGTTACTTTGGGATTTTTGAGACATGATACAGTCCACACTGACTGAAACTACAGAGCCGGGGCTGGCATGGAACTCTCTCCATCCTCCAGGTTGGGATTATGCATGTGTACCATCACACCCATCAGAATGGGGCAGGTTTTCAGTCTCAGCACTTGGGAAGCAGAGGCAAGCAGATCTCTGTGAGGTTGAGGCCAGCCTGGTCTACATAGCAAGTCTCTGGACAGACAGGGCGAGACTGTCTCCAAAAACAAACAATAGAAACAAATAGTTGAAAGAGGAAATCAGTACTAAGTGTGTTGACTTTTTTCATTACTTCCTAAATAATACAATTATTTATATACCATTTATATATTAAATATTATAGAGATATTTGAAATACACAAGAGGGTTACATAGGTTATATACAAAATCTATGTCGTGTGTGTGTGTGTGTGTGTGTGTGTGTGTGTGTGTGTGTGTGTGATTCCCTTCATGAACCCTGGGACCAGTTCTCTGGGTCACTGAGAAAAAAATTACACTGAACATGGAAAGGAATAATAACATAGTCTTACAGAATAATTGTGAAAATTAAATAGTACCAAATGGAAAGTCTTTAGAAAAATGTTAACCAAAGAATAGCTGTATTTGGGGCTGGAGAGATGGCTCAGCGGTTAAGAGCACTGACTGTTCTTCCAGAGGTCCTGAGTTCAATTCCCAGCAACCACATGGTGGCTCACAACCATCTATAATAAGAATCTGGTGCCTTCTGCTGGCATGCAGGCAGAAGACTGTATACATAATAAATAAATAAAATCTTAAAAAAAAAAAAAGAATAGCTGCATTTGGGGCATGATGAGTGTCTCGTGCCATCAGCATGTTCATGTGTTGAGAAAAGTGGACTCAGCTCCAAGGGGAGTGGTCAGGAACCATCCACAGAGACAGAATCATTGCAGCTGTGCAGGGTGGGACTGTTCAAAGGAAGAGAGATGAGGGAGGAGTTGTAAGGCTTTGAGCAAAGGCTAGCCCTCTCTAGACCAGACTCGATGAGTCTGCATGTCATTCAGGTATAGCAAGGCTGCTGCTGTTTTAACACTGAAGAGTGATTACCTGTATGGGATCGAGCCTATCAGCATTCCCCCACGGAGGGGAGGGAGCACTCCTTCTCAGGAGGCACTGTGCAAGGTCCTTCCCCTCCCTGAGGATATAAAAGCCTTTAATGGTTGCTGGGGGCAGATTGCACTTTTCTTTGGTGCTGAAGCTGCCAATACTCCTGTCAGCTGACCTAATTGAACTCATTGGTTCACCAAGCGAGGCTCTGAGGTTTGCTGCTGGTGCCCTGTCTTAGGGTGGGCAGGCATGTGCTCATATCTCCCCAGGGAAGCTAATATAAGGTATGGAAGTATGAATTCCACAGAGTAGTCATGAGAATTGGATAGCACATAGTGACACCACTGTCATTAACATGACAACATTGGGCTAGAGAGATGGCTCAGAGGTTAA